ATCACCTGGGGCTCTAAACCCTTCCCAGGCTTTGTTGCCCTTCTCTGGCCATGCTCCAGCCTCTCAATGTTATTCTTGGGATGAGGGGCCCAAAACTGAACCCAGGACCTGATGTGCAGCCTCCCCAGTGCCAAGTACAGGGGCATAATCACTTCCCTAGCCCTGCTGGCCACACTAGTGCTGATACAAACCAGGATGCCATTTGCCTTCTTGGTCACCCTCATCAGGAAGTTGTGATTTGAAATGGCAGAGTCTGTACAAGCCCCTTCTGATTTTGACCAAGATTTTAGCACTGGTGACATCCTGGAGCACAGGATTCGTTCCCCAGCTTGAACCCTTCCTCACCAACTCAGCCCTGCTCTGCTCATGGCCCTGCTTGGGCCCTTTGCTGTGCCCTGAGGTCATTCCCCACTCCCTGATTCCAGTGCACTCCTGGTTTCACAGACTTCTCATAACTCTTCACCACACATTTTTCAGGCTGAGAAATCCCAGTCTAACCATTCTCCCAACAAAAACCCTTCTGTATCTCCAGCCTCCCCTGGGGCCTTTCCACGTCCTAGTTCTCCCATGACCCTCTCAAGGTGGGTGTCTCAGGAGTGCACAGACTCAGACACACCAGGGATTTTGTCCATGACACAACCACAGTCTCACTTCTGCTCTGTACACCCCTCCTAGTGGAAATTTGCTTTTCCACTGATGAGGGCTGAGCTGCTCCGTCCAGAGCATTAGTACTCCAAGAACTTGACCCCAGGTCATGGTCAGGCCAGTCCCTATCTCTGCCTGTACCTGTTTGAACCTTCTCTCCCCAGTCTACACTTAAACACTGTGACCACATCTGTGCACTCACATGATCTCAAAGGCCCTCTGCACTTTTCCCCAGGCACCCTTCCCCCTCACACCCACAGACCTGTCTGGGAGCATGACCTTGCCCTCCTCCCCTTTCCAGACCCTGCATGAACACACCGAGCTGCACGGGCTCCAGCAGAGACCCCTCCCACACGACTGGCTGCTCTCACCTCCTCCTCTTGTCTCCAACCCACACACCAAGCTCAGGACTCCCCTTTCAGTCTTTATCAAAGTACCCTGACACACCATCACCCTCCATCCCCACCGAGCCACGCAAGAGCCACGTGGAGGTCAGGAGATCAAAGAGGTAACTCAGAACCACCTGAGGGCACGGTGAGAAGGTGGTGGCCCTGTGAATTCCATCTCCTAAGGCATTCCAAGATGCCACAACCCCTTTGGAAGCAAACACTCCAGAAAAGACTCCAACCATAATTATTTTCCCCAGCCGGAATCGACAGGACTGACCTTGATGTGTCTGTTCATAGCTGTAGACTGAGCAGCTCGAACTAAACCTTCTAGCTCAGCACCACTGAAGTTCTTGGTCTCCACGGCCAGCTCTGCAATGTCCACATCCTCCCCCAGCAGCTGGTGCTCCCGCATCCTCACCGTGTGGATGTGCAGGATCTGGAACCGGCCCTTCTCGTCCGGCAAGCCTGGACCCCAGAGAAGAGTGTCAGCCAGTGCCCCGGGCAGCCCCACAGCCTGCCCCCTCTGCCCAGTGCTCCTGCCCCACAGGCTCTTCCTCACCACCAGCAAGGCATTCTCACCCCGAGGACATCTGACAATGCTTTTTGTTTGAGAACATTCAATTGCACTAATTGCCCTCAGCAAACTGACTGACTGGATCACCACCCAGCTAGAGAGAGGCAGCTCAAGGTTCAGGTTCTCTCTCCACAGACTGACTGTCCATCTATCTCCTAACTCTCCACCTCAATGCCAAGAGTGTTGTGGAGCACCTTATCAAAGGCCCTACAGGAGTCATGTAAGTGACACCTGGAGCTTCTCCCTCACCCACCAACACGGTCCCTGCGCCGTGGGAGGGCACGAGGTGAGCCAGGCACACTGTGCCCTCTGTGGACCATGCTGGCAGCCTCCAGCCACCTCCCTGTCTTCCACATGTCCCAACCTACCTTCCAGGAGGATGTTTCATGATCTTCCTGAGGACTGAGGTGAGGCTGACTGGTCAGGAGCTCCCAGGGTACTCTTAGCACTCTTTTCTAAAATGGGTGCCCCAGGTCACCCAGGGACTTTCACTGACCTCTACAACTTTGCCAATATGATGGAGAGCAGCTCAGTAACTAATTCCCCTGAATTCCCTCAGCCAGCTCCCTCTGGACCTTGGGATGCATCTTGTTGGGTCCCATGGTCCTGTGTATGTTCAGGTTCCTCAGTAGTCTCAAAACTGATCTTCTAATATCATGAGAGGAACTCTTTTCCAGCTCCTGCCTTGAGGTTCAGGGTCTTGAGAGGTCCCAGAATCCCAGCATGGGATGAAGAGTTGTCAGCTCTGTTCTGCCCCTCTGTCCCTGAGGGCAATTTCCCAGGGGGTCCCATCCACTGATTAGTTAATAACTGAAAGTTCACTCTCCAAAAATTCAAGGTCTTGACTTCACTCTTCACCTGGCCTGCACCTTTCTTATAAAATGTTCATTTTCTCCAACTGAGGTGACAATTTCCCACTTTGCACCTTTGCAAGTCCCTTCTGAAATGCCTGCAGTGGAGGACACAGAGAAGCCCTGTCTGGCACGTTGTCATCTGGTACAACCCTGCTGCTCTCCAGCTCCCTTCCCAGCCACCTTCACAGCCTTTAGAACAAGGAGCTGACAATTGGCACTGGTTAGTAGTTGTGCTGAGGATATGTGAAAGGGCATTTTAAAATGTACACAGTCCCCAGCAGTGCTCAGTCCTTATCATCTGATAATTTATTCTAGGGATGCCTTGCTCAGTTCCTGGAATTTATTTGATTTAATTAACTTTTGTCAACTAAAGATGCAGGTACTACACCTACAACACAATCAATTTCCCTGTTGTTTACTAATGACTGTTGCTTTAGGCATTTATTTTCAAGTAGGAGACTGTTCAAAGGTGACTGTCACTGTGGCTACACTTCTGCACCCCTAAAACACACTTGATGGAGTCTTGACTTCAATTCCTTGTACAATGTTAGTTTGGGAAGGCTGCACCTGGCTGCATTCACAGAACCACAGAGAACCCCAGCATGGTGGGGGCTGGAAGGGACCTCTGGAGATTGCCCTGTCCAGCCCAGAGCAGAGTGCCCAGGCAGACATCAGCCATTCCTCAGCCTGACTTTGAAAATAATTCTGTCTACTGCTAATACACTTCTTTTCCCCAGCCTCCCTTTTCTGTGGATTATACCAGGCATAGGCACATGGCTTTCTCAGTATTTTTGTTCTGGATCTAACAAATGTCTTGGTCTCTTAAGTCTCTGGCATATCCCAAACCCACCCCTGCTGTCTGTGCTCCCCAAGACTTTCAAACCCCAGCTCCTGCTCTGGGCCTCTCCAGCCCTCACTGCTCGTGTGAGCTGCACACACAGCAAGACCTGATCTGACCCATCCCCTGCAGGACCCACGGGCAGGATGAGCTCTGGAGCACCAGCCCCCTGCCCAGGTTACCTCTGAGGCTGCCTCAGCACTCAGCACCTGCACTTCCTCATTCCTCCTTTTGCCTAAAATCTTTCCTTTTCAGCTCCCACAAAAACTCTTTCCTTTCAGGGGCTCTTTCAAAGAGTGACGTTACCCTGGAAGGATAAGAGAAAAAGTCCCTAGAGACCTCTTAAGATCACATGCACAGATCAGATTTCTGGAGTTTCCCCACAGCTCAGGCCAGCACAGACAGTTCCAGTGTTTCATGTGCTCTTCTGCACTACCCACCTGAAACTGCACTTTCAGTCTCTGAAGTAAACACAGATCTCAAGCAATGTGAGTTTGGCAGAGCAAGACAGGCACATTAGGCTTTTAATCAGCCCCAGGCTGCTCTCTATTTAAGTGTTCCTCTGCAACTGTTAACCTCAGAACCCTTCAGAGTCCACCAGCACCCCTACTCATCCTACTTCTGATCCCAAATGCAAAGCCAGAGACTCGTTTTCATGAATCTAAGATGATCTGGGCTTAATTTCTTAATAAATCAGCCACTCTGTTGCTTAGCCTGAGTTGGTGTCAGGCAGATGTGTACAACAACAAAGTCCCTTTTAAGCTCCTGACAGGTAACATTCTTCTCCAGCCTACTAGAAGAACAGCTAACAGAGCTCAGCCAGACCTGCTGATTTCAGGTTTAACATCTGCAGTTCCTGCAGGGAAAGTCACCGTTAGCTCCTCGTGCCAACAAAGGATCTGCACTTCCTCCAAGTCAAGATCTGCTCACGGGTGGTACTTCCCTGATCTACAGGCTCCACAATTTCCACCTAGGAATGCTCTGGGGCCATCACTTGGCTCCCTTCATTCATGCAGGAGATGCAGGGTCCTGCCTGCCCATATCCATCCCTTCTGCTGGACTCAAACTATCAGGGCAACGGTTTATCAGCAGCTAGGTCTAAAATGCTCTTTTATCTGGCTGATTAAATTGACATGTAATATTCTGGAGGCAGCTGCATGAGGTTCCACACCCCTGCAGGCTGGTAACTGTTCACACTGTGACACATCTGCTTGTCTGTCCCAGGCACAGGGGAGAGCCCGTGTGGCGACAGCCCAGCCGCTTACCGATCTCCATCTTCACCTCCAGCCTCCCCGGCCTCAGCAGGGCCTCATCTATCAGGTCAGGTCTGTTGGTCATTCCTAAAGTCAAAGTGAGAAACAAAATCAGCCTTATCTGAGCTTACTGAGTGGGTGTCCAGCCCCTGGACACAGCCCACAGGGCGTAGAAGGTACCTCAAAGAGTCTCCAGATAACAAAGGCCGCCCATCGTCAGGAATATTGGCAAAGTCCCATCCTGCACTGGAGTCAGGGCAACAGGGACCAAACCTGTTCTTGTGACTGTCTGCTGGGCTCCTGGCACCAGGACAGCACAGCTAGAGAAGCCCAACTCCTCCACATGTCACTCCTTGCAAGGTTTCTTAAACTATAAAACACTTGTAAGCAACAGCTCAAGGAGGAAATGGTTGAATGCAGCAATATCCCAGAATCCCAGCATGGGGGGGTTGGGAGGGACCTCTGGAGATCACCTCATCCCACCCCCCTGCTCCAGCAGCTCACCCACAGCAGGGTGCCCAGGGTCACAGCCAGGCAGGTTTGGGATCTCTCCAGAGCAGGAGACTCCACAGCCTCTCTGGGCAGCTGCTCCAGGCTGCCAAGACATCAATGAGGAGATGGAACCTTCTGGGTTCCAGTACATCAAAGGAGGAGATGGAACCTTCTGGGTTCCAGTTTGTGCCCAGCCCCCTTTGTCCTGTCGCTGGACACCACTGGCAAGAGTTTGGCCCCATCCTCTTGTCCTCCATCCTTTAGATACTGATCAGCATTGATCTGATGCCCTCCCAGGCTCCTCCTCTGCAGGCTAGGCAGCCCCAGGGCTCCCAGCCTTCCCTCCTCAGAGAGATGCTCCAGTTGTATCAGCCAGTGACAGAACCACCCCTCTTTAATTACAATCTGCTGCTGATGCTTGGCATCCAGTTTGGCTTAGTCCAAGCAGATCCAACACCAGTAATGACAACACTGCTGACCCACAGTGAAGAAAGCATCAGCAGGTTTCAACCAGTAAGAGAGGAAGCAGAAGCACCATCTTACCTATCACTAGGATGTTATTGAGCTGCTCCACTCCATCAATTTTAGACAGCAGCTGGTTCACGACGGTGTCGTGGACGCCGGTGCTGCCCGCCATGCTCCCCCTCTGCTTGCAGATGGCATCAATCTCATCAAAGATGATGATGTGCACCCCACTGTTTGCTCCAAGCTGTTGGAGAGAAACACCCA